ACAGTAGAACGTGAAAGGGTGTCAAACCGAAAGGATCAATCAAATGATCATGAGTATTGCCTTGTTGGGAAGACTGCATTGATGACTCAATCTCACGAGCGAGCTCATCCGTTGTTGTAACAGAGGCGTGGTAGCATTTCGTGTGTATGGGTAAGTTGTCAAATCGATGTTTCAGACCAAAGACGATCATCGTAGTGCCAAAATTGGTTCCTCAGTGCTGTGCAGCCTCGAAAGTAGCATAAACTCGCACTTTCAACGTGATAGGCATTCGGAAGGAAGACAAATGTTCACTAAAGCCTTGCATCCCATAAAGGCGTCGTTTATCGTCAGGTAGCTAGGGCGATTGCTCAATTCCACTTGCACCAGCTTGAGACATTCTGCAAAAGCGCAGTGTTGAATAAATTCTATCGATTCCGGTAGTGCAACTGACTGCAGATTCTTGCACGAGTAAAAGGCTCCGTTACCCACATATTTGAGACCATTCTGGAACTTTATTAATCCTCAAAGAATCGCAGTAGCTGAATGTGTCCTGTTCAACACGCTCAGTAGTGGAAGGAATGTTGATTGTTTGCAACTTTTAAAACATTGCATAAAGGCATGTTTTCCAATCACTCGCAAGTTCTCTTCGTCAAAATTCACTTCCTGCAACGAAGTACACCTATAAAAGGCGCCGCTGCCCAATAGTTCAAGAGATCTCGGAATGTCCACTGTTTCCAATTGCACACAGCTTGCAAAAACATCCCTATCAATTGTTTTCAAGCCCTCCTGGAAGAACACTCTTGCCAAGAGTTCACAGTAGCTAAAAGTCCCTTTTTGAATGGTCTCCACACTGCAGAGAATGCTGACTTCAGCCAATGACGAGCACTTTTGAAAGGCCCAATTTCCAATGGTAGTCAACAAACCATCCTCATGAAATCGAACTCTCGTCAATGCTTCACATTCCATAAAGGCAGAATCTCCAATAACCGCGACGGACGGAGGAATTTCGATTTCCAACAAGCTTACACATCCGTCAAAGGCACACTCTTCGATTGCCCTTAAAGAGGTTCCATTGAAATGCACTCGTGACAGCTGTTCGAAGTTGCTACAAGCGTGTGCCGGAATCTCATGAATCAGAGGATGAACAACTAACTCTTCCACGTCGTCTGGAATCCTTTCTCCTTTGTTTCCAAAGTAGTGATAAGAACTCATCCTATACAATGGGTAACCAGAATATCAGGTAGGAGTTCCATCTGTGATCTGCGATAGTATGATACTGTTGTAGCAACAGTACCGATTGTACAATCTGAAATTATTACAATCTCTCGGCAATTTCATTATTGTGCATGGGGTTTCCTCCACGTCTTCACCCCCTAATGAGATAACGCCCCCGCATTTCCGGAAATCCAAACAGAGATATCGTTGTTGCCAAGCTTCCTCCTCGGGTTCAGTAACATTGGGTCGTGTTCTGGTGGTATTTTGCCTCATCTACATACTGTATTGCTTCTGGATTATTCTGTACGGTACCGGTACAGTACCATAGCGTATTGTAGAGAACTTGAACTTTGGAAATGCCAAACGAACGAAACAAAAAAAAGTGCGAAAAACGCGCAGAGGCCAAGTTTCGTTTACGTTTTCGTCAACCGTGGGGATTGGCCTAAAACCCTCAAGCTGCAATGTAAATCCTCCTGCCTCCTGGGCTTGGCGGCAAAACTGATCAACTCTTGAGGAACAAGAAAGCAAGAACGCAGCTGTAGATGCCATGAACTACAAAAAGAAGCTTTCACAAATCGTTAATTTTACTAATATGTATATCACTTTGCTACATCATTCGATCTAGTGCTAGTTCATCTTCAGTTGTGTACCCTGCCTTATTGTAAGTTCCACTTACACACCAACAGCAGCAACTTGGTTTCGTCCCACAACCAGTGTCACACTTCTCCTGTTTACCTTTCTTCCACAACAATTTTTGCTTTGTGGTCAGCAGGCGAGATAATCTCCATTGGCTCTACAGTGGCCGCTGTACCCACATTTTGAACCACGCCGAGAGCCATCGAATTCGCAACCTGTGTTGAGGCATGGACTCGTGCCTCGGCAGCTGTTGTGTTTGCTTGTGCTTGATAAAGCCTCCCTTGGGCCAAGTTTTGCGCAACTGCGGCGTTATTTGCCCTTTTAAACTGAGATATTTCAGTCTCCATCTTCGTGTTTTCAAGTCTATTCTTCGCTGCTTCTACATCTGCTCGCGCTTCGATCTTCCTGCGTTCCTTATCCAACTTTTCTTCCTCCGATGGAAAACAGGAGCTAATGTTTCCTCGGCAACAATACAAAATTATCCCAATGATTATGAGTGGGCCGATGATACCTCCAATTGTGGTACCACCCCCGCTGCTCTCCTGCTGCAAACGTCGTTCTTCCGCTTCGCCGTACATCCACTCGTCGTCATGATGGAAGCCGACAAACTGTGTCAACACTTCTTCGATTGCTGCTGTGACTTTCATCGTCTTGTTGATGCTGGTCTTCAAACTTTTCGGTCACAACACTATGCCTCCTTTCAGAAATTGTGAGAAAAGAAATCAGGTTTCGAACTTTCTTCTGGTCCTGGTTTCTCCTCCAGGCGCGTTTCTACAGTACTAGATACCAGGTGCTACCATCACGTAGCCCCATTTACTTGAAGTACTCAAAAGATACCTCAGAATGACTATGGCATCACCACCAGTCGCGTTTTTCAACGTCCACTTGTCGCCTGCTTCGACAACGTTCTTCACTATGGTCGTTTTACGATTAAAATGCTCGCGCTTGAATCGACCTTGCTTGAATATATTATATATATGGATGCCAAATTTACGCCTGAGAGCGAGCACGGCCTTCAAAAAGGCAGCTTCGAAGTATTGAAACCCCAAATATTTATCCGATACCACGTACAGGAAAATTCTGAACGGTTTCATCTTCTTTGAACTCCGCCGATTCTCCTGACTGCTGCCGCTGGACCCGGTATGATGACCCAACTCCATGTTTTCACAATTGTTCCAGATCATTCCAGGTAGTAGCTACATACCGGTAATAAAAACCGAACTTTAAGCGCCAAGGGACATAAAACCCTCAAGTTGCAATTGTAAATCCTCCTGCCTCCTGCTTAACAGCAAACTTGCCGGCCCGATACATAAGCCCCCCTTGGTAGATGGGTTTTATGTCCCTTGTGGGGCTCAAAGTTCAGCGGCACAAGTCAGGAAATACTTCAAGTAAATGGGGCTACGTGATGGTAGCACCTGGTATCTAGTACTGTAGAAACGCGTCTGGAGGAGAAACCAGGACCAGAAGAAAGTTCGAAACCTGATTTCTTTTCTCACAATTTCTGAAAGGAAGCATAGTGTTGTGACCGAAAAGTTTGAAGACCAGCATCAAGAAGACGATGAAAGTCACAGCAGTAATCGAAGAATTGTTGACACAGTTTGTCGGCTTCCATCATGACGACGAGTGGATGTACGGCGAAGCGGAAGAACGACGTTTGCAGCAGGAGAGCAGCGGGGGTGGTACCACAATTGGAGGTATCATCGGCCCACTCATAATCATTGGGATAATTTTGTATTGTTGCCGAGGAAACATTAGCTCCTGTTTTCCATCGGAGGAAGAAAAGTTGGATAAGGAACGCAGGAAGATCGAAGCGCGAGCAGATGTAGAAGCAGCGAAGAATAGACTTGAAAACACGAAGATGGAGACTGAAATATCTCAGTTTAAAAGGGCAAATAACGCCGCAGTTGCGCAAAACTTGGCCCAAGGGAGGCTTTATCAAGCACAAGCAAACACAACAGCTGCCGAGGCGCGAGTCCATGCCTCAACACAGGTTGCGAATTCGATGGCTCTCGGCGTGGTTCAAAATTTGGGTACAGCGGCCACTGTAGAGCCAATGGAGATTATCTCGCCTCTTGAAGCAAGAACAACAGTTACCGTGGAAGAAAGGTAAACAGGAGAAGGATGGTTGTGGGACGAAACCAAGTTGCCGCTGTTGGTGTAGATGTCGAACTGAAGAGAAAGATTAGCTGAAATTTACTGTGAAGATCAGAAGAAAACGAACTTCCAGCAAGGCGGGGCACGCAACTGAAGATGGACTAGGACAGTTGCCGAATCTAGTAAAGTGATATACATGTTAGTAAAGTTAACGATATGTGAAAATAATTTCTTGTGTGAATGCCATCCAGAAGAAAATTCTCCCTTCGTTGGCTGGATGTAAAATAATTTTGGAGGACGAAGTGGACGACTTACTTGAGGATGGGACAAGGTTAGGCTGCAAAGTTGTTGCGAACCCAAAATTCTTCGATACGCAAAGAATCTCAACAAATCTCACAACGGCAACGACTCCACTTCGTTGCATTATTCGCCCGAATGATGACTGATGGGGATCAACTATCAAGGCGATATCCTTTGGAAGTCAACTAAAGTCTAGTTTGATAATATCATTCACCTGTTGGATCAGATTTTCCTTCACCGCAAACGCAACAATCACACCACAAGGATTCGGCCAAGAGTTTCATTTGATGTCTATCTACTCGGATACATCTTTTTGCGGATGTCCCTATTGCGCCCTGATATAGTTGTCAATTTGATTGCGAAATTTTTTTCAGACAGGGGAGTGGATGTAGTCCTTGATGCTGATGGTCTGAATCGCCATCACTCGAAAAGGGCCCATCAAGATCGTGCTGCGAACAAGGACTGCCTCCGGATCCGAGTAATGGAGAAGCGAGCTTCCCTAGCCAAATATTTGAACCATCTCAATCCAAGCAAGGAAATTCTAGACGAAAAGAAAAAATTAATGAAAGATTATATCTGCGCTCAAAAGAAAAACAAGAAAAACTCAGTCTATTCCTTCGGACTTTGTTGAGAAGATTGAAGATTTTGTCACGCAGTCTTTCAAAAACACAATACCGGTACTCGTACAAGTAATACAATAATATGTACTGTGAAAAAAAAATGGAATCATTCGACTGCTTTGAAATTATTTCGTCAGCCTGCGCGCTTGCAATTTATCCATTTTTCACAGTGGGAGACCTCCACATCACCCACCCCGCAACCCGGATGCTTGACACTCACCCCAATCTACCTCCCAAAATCCCCCACTTCAAAACCGGCTGGCGTTGGATCTTGGCCAGTGCCGACCAGCTTTGGCCAGCCCGCCTCGTTTTAGTTTAGCGCCCTTTCTACCCATCCTCACTTTTCTGCAGCCTCCCTCCGCAATGACAATGGAGCGCCTACACTACATGATCTTCCCATTGAATGCTGTAACTGGGAAGTACAGTCGATCATTCTGATGCGTCAAAAACTAAAGAACGCATTGTACCAGATTCTATCGACCTTGTAAACAAAATTAATAGTCATGTCATCGTCCATTTACTTCCATTCCAAGGATAAGGTACGGTGATCCTCCTTTTGTCAGTCATAGTTGCTGTACGAACCCCATCCATTCTGACTTCTTACAATTGTAACAACTCAACAGGACAAGATCCCACACGGTTTCCGCAACATGTACCCATTGCCTAATCAAACGCCAGCTCATCCATCAAGCAGCTTTCAAACGATGCTCAAACAGCAGTGTTGATGTTCTGTTGTCCAAAGACAAAGGCGCAGTATTCATATGCTCTTGTTTGAGCACCAGTCATTCAGGCAATACATTGCTGTGCCAAATGGGGACAGAGCCGAGAACTGTGCCACAAGTGTGCAATTCCTCTATCTAGCATCTCCACCAAGGTCCAAAACCATACCGGTACAACCACATTCGTATTTCAGCCTTGAAATTGGCGCAACAGAACAAAGCCTACGTGGACAGTCTCATAGTTCAAAGTATCAAGTTTTCAGTGTCGACGTTGACATGCTACCAGCAGACCAACACAAGCGCCATGATCAATTCTCCATCAATCGACTATGGATATAATCATGAAGAGCAAAGCAGCATTTCACAAATAATTATTTATTATAGTCTATGTTTTTTGAAAATACACTGCACACCAAGAAGACTTGTGTTGACACTGAACGCCATAATATCAATTATTATACATTCTATACCGTCCATGAAACATCAATCTAAGTTCCCTCTCCAGATGACAGACATGGACAAGTGTTGAGCCTCTTATTGCACGTGCGACCCCAGCCTTTTTCGCAAACTTCACTAGTGTCGACCGTCTTGATTCATGTCTGACCGTTACCAACGTCTTTTTCTCAAAACCATGCAGGATCGGACGCCTTTTCTTGCGAATTTTTTATTTTTTCAAACAATTTTTCAACGGCTGATTTCCGGCATCGGTAGCACACTTCACAGTGTTGAGCACGTGCGACCCCAGGCTTTTTTCGCAAACTTCACTAGTGTCGACCGTCTTGATTCATGTCTGACCGTTACCAACGTCTTTTTCTCAAAACCATGCAGGATCGGACGCCTTTTCTTGCGAATTTTTTATTTGTTCAAACAATTTTTCAACGGCTGATTTCCGGCATCGGTAGCACACTTCACAGTGTTGAGCCTCTTATTGCACGTGCGACCCCAGGCTTTTTTCGCATACTTCACTAGTGTCGACCGTCTTGAATCATGTCTGACCGTTACCAACGTCTTTTGTTCCAAACCGTTCGATTTATATGTTGATTTGAATAAGTACTCAAGTTTTGTGAATAACATCCGTTTTATGCTGTAAACAGCCTGATTTATTCTTGGCATCATTTGCAGCGAGGGGACATCATTACTGTCAAGCACTGCTTGCATTCTTCATTATATCAAGTCGTTTTGGTTAAATGATGGAGGTGAAGAGGTGATTTTTCTTATGACTTTGTTACAGCAAACATGTCAAAACATGTCAATGTAAAGATGTTTTCAGGTAAGCATGTCTTGGAAAAGTAGGGGTATTTTGCAAACGGTTTTCACGTATTACTTAACCAAAATGTATCATGTGAGAGTATTTTGAGAACGGTATTTTAACGTCTTTTTTGCTGTTTTGAATACCTTGGAGAAAACTTCCCTAGCGTCGAGCGTCTTGATGGATGTCTTTCGATTTATATAGCCTAAGACATGCACATGCACGCTCAAACCAAGGGGGTACAACAGATGTTTTTTATTTGAATAAATACGATTTATATTGTATAAAAATGTAGTTTTCGTAAAATTGGTTGAGGGACGGGCAAGAGATATGAAAGGAAATACTGTACCAATGTTGGACGACCTGCAAAAGCACAACTTGTGGGGCAATGGGATATTGAAGATTACCATGAGAAGATCAAGAAGTAGAATAATAGATTGACACTACCTAAAACAAAATGTCGAACAATTGGGGAGTCGCAATCCAACCTTTTCTTTATGCCTTTCTTTTAAAACTATTTTTATTTGTATAAAATCTAGTTTATTCCGAATAACATCGGAATTATACTACCGGCACAGGTATACGGCACGCACGTGGCAACGTTTGCGAAATAGTCCGCGGAATAAGGCGGGTGGAGGGAAAAATGGGAGGGAAAAATGGGAGGGAAAAATGGGAGGGAAATTCAAAAAACGGCGGGAACCAGGTACCGATTGTTGGAAAAACAGCCACAGATCTCATTTACAACTTCAGTTTTGAAGCCAATCTGTTTTTTCCAACATACCATTCAATTGATTGGAAACATGATGCAGCAATTGTCCCTGTCATTGAGAAAATCCTCGGAGAAATGGGAGGCCTTGGCTTCATTGGACTACTATTATCAGCACTTCTAAATCAAGCAGCGTTTAGCGAAATCGTGGGCAACACAAGCGAGCGTTTTCTTGGAGAATCAAGTATCTTGTTGGAATCTTTTGAATTCCTTCACGAGGTGTTCTTTCAGGCTGCAATCGCCTTTTTTGCAGCTTCTGCATTCATCATTGTCCGTGTTCTGCTGAGCTTCAAAGCGATCCTAGAACTGACATCAGAACAAGGGGACAATGGTGAAAATTTTGGAGGTTCCGATGCTGCATCGCAACAACTGTCATGTTCTGTAGCTCGAATTCTTGAAGCACCAACCATAGAAAAGGCTATCCTCATCAGTAATTTCGAAGAGCAGGAAGGCTTGGAATATGAAGTCGACCTAGATGATGATTATGTAAAAAGGCTAGCCATCGAGCAGGTAAATCCTCTTTGGCGAGAGCTCACACTGACTCCCAAAGGTAAAACAGTATAGTATATATAACTATATTGCACAGTATAGTATATAGTGTACGGCAGTATCGTACTGTATGACCTCCTTTTCACTTCTCATATTGGGATCCTCTGATTCCCGAAGTACCGATTATGACATCACTATTCTACAGGCACAGCCAGGCACAATAACAATAATGTGATACCAGTAGATCCAGACCAAACGCCATCATACTATTAAGATTTTTATTTTTATGCAGCACTAGTAGTTTCAAAAAGGAATGAAACCACACCCGGAATAATAACTGAAACGCCGCTTCGAATACGGTATGCTCCTCGGTCATCATTGATGGCTGTAGTTCTTGATGCATTTTCTGTTGATGCAATAGGTGGAAACTTCATCTCACATTTCCACAAAGATAACTCTAACAATGCTGTAGCCTCCATCAGCTCGTAGCGTGACAGAGCCGTCATTGCTTCTTGGAACAAAGATTGTCTATGTTCCACATCATCTTCAGCAACAATAGCATTCACTCTCGTCGACATGTCTGATTTCCATGCTTCCAACCCATTCCAACTCGATATCGAGTCCACCATCCATCCTTGAAGAGCTGCTAGCAAAATAGGCCGAGACTGGTCAGTCAGATGAACGCTTCGTTGACTATAGTACTCAATGGCAGTCTTTCCGTTCACGTCTTTCCATGCAAGGATATTTGGTGGATACGCATCTAGCAAGACATGCTAAAGATCAAGTCTGCAGTTGGCACCAGAAAGCAGAATGTGAAAAGGTGTCATACCGAAAGGATCTACCACATGATCCAGAGTATTTTTGTGCGACACTTGCATTGCCAACGCAATCTCCTGAGCGAGCTCATTTGCGCTTGTAACCGTTGCGTAGTAGCATCTCTTGTGTACGGGAAAATTCTCGAATCGGCTCGTAATGGCAAGCGGGATCTCTGTGTCGTCATATTGATTTTCTAGCGCTGTGCAGTATCGAAAGCTGTTCACATCCACATCGCCAGATTGGACATAGTCAGGAATTGGTTGGGTATTTCGAGATTCGGAGGGAAGACAAATATTTATTAGAGAAGTGCAGTCGCGAAAGGCATCGCCATATATCGTCATAGTCAGAGGTCCGTCCCCCAATTCCACTGACACCAACTTGCGACATTCTTGAAAAGCAAATCTGCAAATCACGGTAACCGACTTTGGAAGTGCAACTGCTTGAAGATTCTGGCACCCATGAAAGGAACTATCTCCCAAATATCGCAGACCATTCTGAAACTTCATCATCCGCAAAGATTCGCATAAGGTGAATGTCTCTGATTCTACGCGCTCGACAGTGGACGGAATGCGGATTGTTTGCAATTTGAAACATCTGCCAAAGGCCCGATGTCCAATCACCCTCAAGCTTCCTTCCTCAATGTTCACTTCCTGTAACGCCATGCAGCGAAGAAAAGCACTGCTGCCCAACACTTCAAGAGTTTTTGGAATGTCCACTTTTTCCAATTTGACACACTCCATAAAAGCACCAATATCAATCGCTTTCAGTCCCTCTTGCAAGACCACCCTTGCCAAGGATTGGCACCTGGCAAAGGCAAACCTTCCAATAGTCTCTACACTAGAGGGAATGCTGACTTCCGACAATGACTCGCAACAGGAAAAGGCCTCTATTCCAATGGCAGTCAACAAACCATCTTCAGCAAAATGAACTTGCGTTAATGACCGACAATCCCCATAGGCAAAATCTCCAATCATGGTCACAGACGGAGGAATTGCAATTTCCAACAAGCTTATACATCCATGGAAAGCAGCCATTCCAATTGTCCTTAGAGCGGATCCATTGAAATTGACGCGTGTGAGGTGTTCGAAGTCGAGACAAGTTTCTTTAGGAATACTTTGAACGAGTGGATGAACAACTAACTCTTTCACGTCGTCTGGAATCCTTTCATCCGCGTTTCCAAAGTAGTGACAAGACGTCATCTTTTATTCAATTGATACTCAGAGTATCAGACAGGAGATATATCTGTGATAAGACCGGTATACAGTATCCCATACGAGCTACTATACTCGTATACTGTATGCGATACAGTGTGTTACTTTCAACTTGTTGTGCTCCTAATGTTGCATGCAGGCGGTGTTATTGGCCAGCGAAGGACGGACTGGTTTCACCCCACCTTTTCACAGGACGCCCCCATTCCCAAATACGACATGAAGCATCGCAGTCTCACTCCATATTCTCCTGCTCCTACCTTATTGGGATCCATAGGCAGCGTCATGCATACCATACTACAATACTATAGGCACGAATAATGATCGGATGTATAAAATAATATAAAACAATAAATTAAATTGCCAGTCTTGACCCCTTTCAAGCTAAATTTGTTGTTCCAAGCGGCATCATGCATGCCATTTCCATGCTGGTGATTACCACGCCGCAGCAGCAGCAGCACTCGCTCACTCCATCATTCCCACCACCATTCTTCTTCACGGTGACACTGCCTTGGGTGTTTTCAGCGCCCCTCTAGCAGCTTTGTCCATGACAGTCGTCGTCGTCGTCGTCTTGCTGGGTGACTTTTCATCTCCACCACCAGTCGTCACCTTGTGGTAACTCACGCTGGCTTCAAACCACGAATTGGGGTGATTCCCCACATTGTCCAAATTGACATTGGGGGTGGTGACAGCATTGGGATGCGCGACCTTAAAGTGTTCCATGCAGGCCAGAGTAAATTGACCGGATTGTTGTTGGGCCATGATTGGTTTTTGTTGTTGCGGGGAAATCCCAAGCTTGGCAAGCATGGTGGAAACTTGTTGGACCGTATTGTGTTTGTAGGGACAGCCGTGATGATCATTGGAATTGGGAGCATTGCTCATAATAATCTTGGTACAAGTGTAGGGTGGATAGTTTTGACGTTTTCCCTCCTTGCCGTACATGTGCCGAATGTTGTAGGCGTATTCCTTGGAAAAGTCCTTGGTCTTGGCCGTAAACATGCGTTCAAAATAAATCAAGGCATCTTCCAAGGACAGACCAGCTCCCTTGAGGAATAATCCGTATTGCAAACGTCCCCAGTGCTTCAAATGACGTTCCGTTTGCAGCGCCACTTGGAGTTGGACCATGCACAGAGGCATGTTCCGCAAGTGATCCTTGACATTTTGGGGATCCAGCGAGGCTGCCATTTCGCTCTTGTTGGCGAACTCGTCCTTGACGGCATGCACCGTGGCGACATTCTTCAAAAATCCCTGTGTGCGTTTGAGGGCAGGAGTGGTGGGAACAGATGATAGCAAGACCAGCTGCCTGGAAAGGTGCGCACGAAACTTGGAGGTGACCAAGTGGACCAATTTGGATTCGGGAATGTAAGCCATTCCCTTCTTGATGAAGACTTGTCGGTGCTGGACGAGATCCAATGCTAGCGTAAAGGGAACCTTGTAAAAGAGTGGCAATTTGAGTGACTGGAGGCCCACTGTACCAGTCTTTAGTTCGAAGTCGAGCTCCTCCATTTCTTTTTGGGAAACCGACTTGGCCGCATCTGGCAAGACTGATTTGAGGTTCTTGACACTGCCGGACGAAACTCCCAGTCGCCACTTGAGCAGAGCGACTTCTTGGGCCAAGAACCAGCGTCTCAAGTCTTCCGTGCGGCAGTAAGCCAGCCTCAAGACAAAGTGGGAAATGGAATCCTTTTCCGGATTGTTCAATTTGGAAAGGAGTGGATCAAGATATTGCTTGTGCTTCTCGGCTGGAACATGGCGGAGCTTGAGTTGTTCCAAGCGTTTGAGGACCTGAAACGTAGATAAGGAGCGAACAAGAGCAAGAGGGCGTGGATGGGAGCGTGAGGCAAGATTGGAGTGAAATAAAATAGCAAACAACAACATCCACAATGACGACAACGACAGGAAACAATGAACAGCAATCCAATCCAATCCAGTCCAATCCAATACAGAGCGCCATTCTTTCTGCGCACAGTAATACACACCTTCAGTCGATCAAGAGCAAACTCTTCAAAGTCGTCCAAGCTGACTTCCATCGTTGGAATCTCTTGATACAAATTGATAGCCTGATTTCCATTCGAACTGTTCAACGACTGCTTGTTCTTGGGAAGACCGCTGCTGCTCCGCTCTTTCTTTACGATATTCATATTGGCAGCGCTTGATTGAAGTAGACGAAAATAATAGTGGGAGAGATGCAAGAATTGGAAACGCTTCTACAATAAGAATCAACGAACTGCGCTTTCGTCTGAGATGTTGCAAAGATGTAGCCAAAGTTTTCATCCTCGTCGCATTGCTGGCGGGAGACGGCAAGGCGCCTCGTGGCTTCACGTAGAATTGTATGATGTACCACTTCAATAATTTGGCGCACTTTTTATGAACGACTGGACTCCTTGGGCTCCAAGTTTAACGTCTGGTACATAATACCTCTAGTAGAGCAACCTCAGAATCCCATAACCTTTGTCTAGTTTTTAATTATTACTTATTATTAATACAATCAACTACAAAATGCATCCCCCTCGCTTTCCTCATTTTCATCATCCCACTGAACATGTTTTTGGCGGAAATTTGCCTTCATCTCTTCGACAATCGACTTGCCCTTTTCTTCCCATTCCTTGCGATTTTCCATCGCGTAATTCAGGCACTCGTCACTCGAGACACCAAAGACTCCGCAGTCGTCCAATTTCTTGGCGAGCGGAATCACGTAGTTGTCAAAGAACCATAGTTCCCCTTGATACCATCCTTCCGATGGATCCTTTTCCAGCCCACGGCCTTCCGCATGAGCAGTGCACATTTCTTGAAACAACATCTCGTTCCATCGTTTGTAGACACGCCAATGTTGCATCGTGTGAGCAACATCTGCAGCTTGGAGGATGTGCTCAATCACGATCGTAGCCTTCAAATTCGCTGCTGACTCGGTGGTATCACTGAAGGCCTTGACCCATCGATTGTTGCGGAATTCTTTTAGCTCCTTATCGAAAATATCCGTGGCCATGACACAATTGATCACCAATTGCCGGAATCGTTGGTATTCTTCTTGATTCGCGCAGATGCAACCCATCAAATCCGAATAGGTTCCCGACGTCAAAACAGCAAAGGTCAATTCAATCGAGTTTTGTTCGGCCAAACTTTGGTTGTTGTACATGGTGGCAATCCGGCTATTTTCCTTGCCCAGTTGCGCATTACTCACACCCGCGTGGTCCACGTCATGAATAATGGCCGAAAAGACAATGGCAAATTGAGTCAAGGGGTCCGAGGCCAATCCAAAGGTGGTACCATGGTTCGACCGAATGGAAGCATCAAAATCGTCCACCGTGCGATCGGGCGACACAATTCGTTTCAAAAGCTTGTTGGCGCTCATGGTCACGTGACAGGCATGCTCAAAATTGTGAAAGGCATTGCTCCGGTATAGTTGCGCAATGGAGGTCACCAAATCTTCCAACTGTTTCAGCACCTTGTCGGGTAGCTCCAAACCGTCCACTCCGTTCGATTCCGTCGTGTTATAGGCACCATAATCGGGCATTCGAATGCATTCGGCAATGGAATCTCGTGGTTTGGTGGTGCTTTCTTCAGAGGAAACGTCCAAACTTGCCTGTGACGCTTGGCTCACGTTTTTGCGATGAAAGACAATCTGTTTCAAGAGACGCGAAAGAACATCCACTTGCCAGTCAATGAGTGACTTGCGAATGCCAAGACGCTTGAAGGAGGCCTCAAGGTCCTGCTTCTTTTCATCTTCGTCGTCGCTACTGTCACTGCCAGCAAGGTCATGGCTACCGTCCTGGGATCCGTTGCCATAGAACATCTGCCCCATGCTTTTTTCATTCGATCCAGCATTCGATGCAGTTTCTCCTTCTGAAAAGGTGGAAGACCTTCCATTGGAAGAAGAAGAAACCTTGGTCTTGATCCAGTACGTTTGGACCTCCCCTTTGCCTTTGGCTTGAACGCGATGTTCTCGTTTTTTCATCCAGTGACCTTTGCCAGAAGCGATGATTAGATCTGCTGTTGATTGCGAAACTTGAACCATGTTTGGTTTGCCCGTAGACTCCATTCTCGATGCCTAAGGAACGAAAGAAAAGTTAGACACGCTGAAGCAGACTAGGGGCATTCATGGCCATTCCGAAAAAGAAAACTTACCGTGTTGACAGTGTCTCCGAAAAGCTGGAAGCGCGATTTTTCTCCACGCAGCACTCCAGCAGTGACTGGACCAGAGTGCATTCCAACACGGAATGCAAGGTTGGTCGTGTCCGGTCCAAGAGTCACTTCCAATTCCTGCGTCAATACACTGGTCTCCTGCAAGAGGTATCGGGCAAATCTCACCATACGCAAATGATGGTCGTGCTGTGGATTTGGCAAACCGGTCACCGCCATATAGCAGTCTCCAATCGTTTCAACCTTGAAGACTTCCAATTCCTTAGCTACCTTATCGAAGGCACCATATAACGTCTCCAGGAGGATAAAAACCTCTGACGGCTGGCGTGAACTACTCCAGGCGGTAAAGCCAGAAATGTCCCCAAACATGACAGTCGTATTGGGGAACAAATCGGCAATGGGCGGAGAATTTTTAGTGTGTGCGTAGGGTGTCACGGACCCTCGGCCCGGTTGCACCTCGAATTGGTTTTTCTTCTGTTCCTTTGGGTCTTTGCCATGGTCAAACAATCGATCCCGCACAATCTGGGGAAAGAGTGCCGAAACAATCGCGTTCGACTTGTCCGCAGCGTCCGCCAAGAATGTCTGTCTTCGCTGGACGAGGAAATCGTAGAATACAAAGACAACAATCGTAAAGAGGAAGATGCAGGCCACGCCGATGGTGAAACTTTGGGGGTTCTTGCTGGAAAAGGTGCTTCTCATTTTTGACGATGGATAAATATCGACCGAATAAGGACAAAAGTTTCTCGACAGGGGAGTGCCGGTATAAATGGATTCAGTTCCAGTGAGTGCGACAGTTTGTAGGTAGAATTCATATTCCTCTTCGTGGAAGTCTTCGGGTCCGAGATAAGTTACTTCTTCTCCAGTGAGATCAAAGGTGAATACTTGATCACATGCATTCCTCATGACGACAATAAGTCCATTGGTAGCAGGGGGGATGTGTTCCAGAAAGAATGAACTCCACTTGACGGTCAAACTCAGAATGGCCACTTCAGTATAATCACTTCGTTCAAAGCCAACTTTGGTTTGCCCCACTTGCTCATACATGGGATACCAAATGTTGGTAGCGGGTCCGTACAACTGCGGGTTGATCCCTCTTCGAGTGTCTCCATTCTCGCCCTCAAGAAAGTCACTAGTTTCTTTGGGGTTTCCTTGCCAAATATCGGCCCATTCTGAATCTTGGTACCTTGCGTTCAATCGTTCATATGAGTTTCTGAGGAGAACAACAACAAAATAAGAAGGCAGAAATGGGTTAGGTTGTCCCAGGATATGATGAAAGAAAAGAATTCAGATGATTGATTCGTGCCGTACCCATGGATGGTGTCGGATAGCTCAAAGACGAGTCCAACCACTGCGGTTTTGTTTTCAAAAACTTCCGCTAGAGCTGCAGTGTTGCCTTTGTATCCAATTTGATCCTTGTTAATGTATGGTAACCCATGATCCACAGGACTGTGCTGCCAAATCGGGATCATAATGTTGCTTTCGTATTGTATGGGCTTGCCATCGGGGGTGATCTCAAACACAAACTCGGATGCTGGAGGAATGGTATTGTTGTCGACATTCGGGTTCGGAAACAAAGACTCTTCGTCCCGACGTTCTTCTGGTAATGCCTCTGGAAAGGATTCTTGAAAGTCAAAGCCCTGTTGTCGCCAACTTTCAGCATTTGCGCTTGAATATTCTTGCCACCCCTGAAGTTCTTCCCGTGTCACGATTGGGTGCATGCCCACTGATATTGCCTTTCCAATCTTGAGAGTGCTAGCTGATCTGTAGCCAAACTCTGGCATAGTAATGTTTGGCCAAGTATTCCCAACTGAAGCTGCATGAGTTGCGATGGATACCGACAATGAATCGAGTGCCCGCAGTTTGAGTGTCAGTTCGGTAGCGAGAGACTGACTGATCTGGGCAGCCTGATCCTGAAACTTAGTTTCAAACGCCACTTGCTCTGATTCCTTCAGACTAACATAAACCGTCATCGCCACGACGTATGCAACAACTAATAGTACACAGAGGGAGAGGAACCGAAGGGACTGAATCCAAGGATCCTTTCGCAGCTTCTTCAATTCGTCTTTTCTATTGATGCTCGTCCCATTCGAGGTTATGGATTTCGTGTCAGTCAGCCTATCATCATCATGGTGGGAGGAGAGACTGACAACACTGAGACCGTCCGCTTCTGAAGTCATGGTTTGTGCCGTCACTTTGGATCCTCTTGGTGCTCTTACGGTAAAGCTTGGCTGTTTCTGCATGGATTACTGAAGTTTCGGCAAGACAATGGAGGGAGGCAGTCGGGCCATTTTCTGCAGGTTCGTGTTCAGTTTTGAGGAACATCAATCATGACCAGACTATCCCTGACAAGAACCTATTTAGTGAGTCGAACATCAAAGAAGGGCTTTTTGAATACTTTTCGATGATTTGACTTAGGGACTATTTGGAAAAGCCTTTTGATCAATAATTGTGACATTTCATGGACATTGAACTCCACAATTTGAATAAGTGGTAGTACCGAGTCGACTGCTGATGCGGCACTTGGGGATACGCGCGAGACCTTTGGTTCCGATAGTACTGGCGGAAGCACAATACTACAGTACCTGGTACGGTACCACCGTGACAATTCCTTTACTGCACATGGTGTACCGTACCAATACATTCTTTTCCTTGCTTCGACCATTCATCAGTAGTACCGTTACTGGAGTACGGTACCGGTATGGTACGGTACAGCTGAGCGAAAAGACAGGATTTCCTTCTGATCGAAGATACGATAACAGGTGTAGTACGATAATATAGAATACATGTTGCTACCGGTAGTCCTCAGGTAACACCACGACCACACCTCACTCCTTATTGATGGTGGAACATATAATAAGCAATAACAAGGACGAAATATATGTACCGTATGCAGCAGATACCACCTCCACAGCATCATGATCACTGTCGTAGATGATGCTCCTTTGAAGATAAATATCATTTTATTCAGATCAGCAGATGTTCTTCCAACCGCAACATGATCCATTCATTCCGATAACTGCAATGGTGATGGTGCTGTTCCCTCCTCCTCGACAACAGGAGGCAGTCGATCTTGAGAATGCTTTCTGGCATTACGATGTGAACAAAAGAATCATCAGCCTCCTTTAAAATTCGCCACAACCTTTTGGGCAACCTCATTATTGTTGTCAAGGTAGCAGAGGTCCACTGAAGTGTTACTGTACTGCTGTGGAATGATAGGCCTACCGGTACGTGTGCTGGTAGCTTTGAAAATGACATTTGAAAATGACATTTTTCTTCAAAATATCCAGAAACAATCTTGAAATTTCGATATTTCACGTATGATCCTACACATTCTACAGAAAACGTTTGGGGAGCTTTCCTAATCAAAGCAGAAAGAATACATTGATCTCGCGACACCTTTACATTCGCCACATTTGAATTCCCTAAACAGATACACGATAGACATACCCGTCGGTCATTGGTAGCATGTGGAGGCAAGAGTTGACATCGGCAAGACAAGAGTGTGTAGGATCAAGAGTCAAATACAGTACCGGTAGGATGTAGGATGTGTACCAAGGTACCAGATTACTGAGACGATTGAGAGGCAGTCAGTCAACGTGCGAACAACAGACTTTTTGACGGACGAAATACAGACGAACACCTAAAGTGACCCTCATCAATTTGACAAATTGAATTTAAGACTTGAGTCCCACACCCCCACTAACCCGCCCTACCGGTACATCATGCGAAGAGTGATTGTTCTTCCTGTTCTGCCAACAGTGAAAGCTTCATTGCTACCTAGATGCGTAGTGTAGTTGTACAAAAAATATTCATATTATATATCTATATTCTAGTATCTCAACAATCATCCCCCTCCGATATTGTCATGCTGTATCTGCTGGACATTTCTAGCACAATGCTTCGGCCCTTGCTTTCCCATTCTCTGCGATTTTCGAGCGCGTAGTTGAGGCATTCGTCACTAGAAACCCCAAACACACCACACTCATCTAGTTTCCTGGCCAATGGAATCACATAGTTGTCAAAGAACCATAGTTCTCCCTCGTACCATCCCGAAGCTGGGTCTTTTTCAGGGCCCCGGCCTGCCTCGTGGGACTTGCACATCTCAGCAAATAGCCGTTCATTCCACTTTTGGTAGACATGCCAATGCTGCATCGTGTGGGCAACGTCAGCAGCTTGAATAATGTGCTCAATCACAATCGTTGCCTTCAAATCGGATGCTGACTCGGTGTTGTCATCGAATGCCTTGGCCCATCGATTGTTGCGGAACTCTTTCAACTCCTTATCGAAAATATCTGTTGCCATCACACAGTTGACAATAAGTTGTCTCAGTCGCTTGTACTCCATCTCGTCAGCGCATATGCATGATACTAAATCGGAGTAGCATGGTGATGCCAACATTTCAAAAGCAAGGTCAATCGAGTTTTGTTCTGCAACACTCTTGTCATCGTACATGACTGCGAGTCGATTCCTCTCCTTGGCCAGCTGTTGGTTGCTGACTCCGTGGTGATCAATATCATGGACAATGGCAGAGAAAATGATTGCAAATTGAGTCAAAGGATCAGACGTCAAACCATACGTATAGTCGTGGGCTCTCTTCGAAAATTCAGTACTCGCTTGGAACTTGGGAACCACAATTCGTTGCAACAGCTTGTTGGCGCTCATGGTCACATGACATGCATGCTCATAGTTGTGAAATGAATTGTCATGATATAGCTGAGCAATACTGGTAGCAAGGTCCTCAAGTTGAAGTACGACTTCAGCCGATAGTTCGATGGAATCAATGTCGATATCTCGTTTGCTAGAATTGGGGGCAAATGCTGGCATTGATATCTTCTCTGCAATCTCGTCTCGTGGCAGCCCTTTACCGTAAACGTTGCTGGCAAAGTTTTCCGACTTCGATCCACTTTTCGTCTTTCGGTGATAGATGATTTGCTTCAAGAGTCTTGAGAGCAGCTCAATTTGCCATTCGATAAGAGTCTTTCGAACCCCCGCAGTCTTGCTTCCCACCTGAATGCGCTCTGAACTATCTACGGAACGAGATCCGGTGAAGCTATCAGATCGTTCAGCAGACGATGCCTTGTGTTTGACCCAATATGTTTGCATCTGCCCTTTTCCTCTAGCTTCAACCATCTCTTCTCGTTTCCTTATCCAGTGGGATTTTCCTGATGCATTGATGAGGTTGGCGGTGGCCTGTGACACTTGAATTTGATTCGTCTTCCCCGTGCTTTCGAGTCTCGCAGCCTGTCACAACATATGATTTACAACGGAATTTGATTTAGATTTGGTGACGTGTATGAATCATCACACCAAGAAGCAATGACCTACCGTATTCACTGTATCCCCAAATAATTGGAATCTTGAACGCTCGCCTCGCAAGACACCAGCGGTGACGGGACCAGAGTTGAGTCCAATGCGAAAGCCTAGGTTGGTGGTGTCAGGACCAAGAGTAACCTCAAGTTCTCGTGTGAGCACCATCATTTTCTCGAGTGCTCTTCTTGCGAATTTCACCTGAATAAAAAAAGAAGTTGGTCATGAGTGATAAGTTCAACGGTACTACACAGGTGGCCGAATATCACGCGATCCGAAATATATCATCCTATTGATGATGATGATGATGATGATGATTTACTGCTAAACAAAAATGGGAGCGTCTCTTGATCGAACATAGGAGAAACGGAGAAAAGGATTCGATTGCATTCGATCCGCAACAAAAAATGTGTGGCTTACCATGCGCAAATGATGGTCTTCCTGTGGGTTTGGCAAACCGGTCACTGCTACATAACAGTCTCCAATCGTTTCGACCTTGAACACATTCAGCTCTCTCGCAATCTTATCAAAGCTGCCGTAAAGTGTCTCGAGTAGAATGAAGACCTGCGATGGTTGTCTCGAGCTACTCCATGCAGTGAAACCAGCGATGTCACCAAACATGACTGTTGTGTTAGGAAAAAGATCAGCAATTGGAGGTGCAGAGGAATTTCCGGCTGCGGAGTCGTTCGATGTCTTCATCGCATTGTTCGCAGCGGCTTTGCCAGAACCAGCCCCACCATCAATTTGGAACAATCTGTCCTGAACAATCTTTGGAAAGAGAGCAGAGACAATCGCGTTACTCTTTTGAGCCGCAGTCGCAAGGAATGTTTGGCGGCGTTCGATCAGGTTATCGTAGGCAACAAATACCATAATCGTAAAGATAAAGATCGAAGCAACGGCGATAGTGAAATTGTTAGGATCGTTGGTAGCATAGGTGTCGCGCATCTTGGTGGATGGGTAGACAGTCAACTTGTATTTGCAGAATGGAGATAGTGACACATCTGAGACCTTGGACTCTTCTTCCATATCCATAAAATAGAAATCTTTCTCGTAGTATTCATATTCTTCCTCGTGAGAATCTAAGTTTCCAAGATATGTGACTTCATCACCTGTTATGTCGAAGGTGCAAACTTGGCCGCACTCGTTACTTAGGACAACAATGAGGCCAATGGGGTTGGCAGGCAATCTTGGCAAGAGAAAAGAGTCCCAGCGAGTAGTCATGCTGAGAACGGCGACCTCTGAGCGGTCATCGGTAGTGTCGGAAAAGACTGGATACCATATGTCGACAGCTGGAGACGACTCCGTCACTCCTTCAATATGTTCCTCACCGCTGTCAGTGGTTACATCGTGTCTAGAATAGGGGAATTGTTAGGCCAAGTTTCCAAGATCCGGCTGCGTTCAAAAGAGATTCTTACCCATTGGACGATTGCGAAAGTTCAAAGAACATTCCCAGAACAGCCGCTCTCTTTTCCACAACTTCATTTAGGGCTCCTCTGTTCCTCTCCTTTCCGTACTGATCATAGTTGACGTAGGGTGATCCAGGATGAATGGGGCTATACTGCCACACTGGCAACATCAGGTCTTCCTCGATAGCAGTTGGAACTCCATCGATGACATGGAAGATGCGTTCTGAAATGTTTTTTGGGTAGAGACTTTCATCAATCAAAGTATCATTCTGAGCTTTGTGTTTTTGCTGGAAGGCTATTGATTCTTCCTTCCAGCCTCGGTTCTGCACTGAATATTGTTCCCACGCCTCTTGTTGCTCTCTGCGCACAAGAGGTTGGAGCCCAACGAAGATACCTCCTCCAATTGTGAGCGTACTTTCAGATCGGTATGAGAATTGAGGAAGTGTCACATTGGGCCAAGTGAGCCCTGATTGTGACTCGGCATATGCTGTGACTGCAACTGAAAGGGCTTCCATAGCCTGCAACTTGATCTGAAGCTCCGCTTGCAACCCTTCACCAATCTGCTCCGACTGAGCTTCGAATTGATTCTCAAACTCCCGATACTCTGAGGCCTTGAGACTAACGTAGACAGTCATTGCGACGACATAGCCAACGACCAATAGAATGCAAAGAGAAAGGAAACGAAGAGACTGGATCCAAGAATCCTTTCGAAGAAGCTTCACATGTTCCATGGCATCGCCACCGCTACTTGAGCCGATAGTGGTAGATGCTTTCGATCGCTCCCCATGCGATTGAAAGCTATCAACACTCAAATCATCGGTGTCATGTGATCCCATTTTGCGCGTGTTGTTTATGGCTTGTGTTTTATGGGTGCAGATTTCTCGAAACAGCTTGGGCGCAAAACGACCAAAAACGTTCCCATTGAGTGACTATTTTATTACCTGGTGGTTCTGCGGGTGCGGAGATATTTGTCACCTTTTCTACAAACAGCTTTTATTTAACAAATCCTATTTTCTACATTTAAATAATGCGAATACCGACTGATTGGGGTGGTTCTGTAACTCACTTCGTTTCCCCGCTAGACGGGCTTTACGATTTTACTGTCACTGGAATTGCTTGGTTCCGGCACGAGTACACGTACCTGGTATCCTTGCTGGTACCGGTAGTTTGGTTGCACTGTTTCGTCAGAAGCGCTTTAAAACCATCTAAGCGGAGGTGTCGGATTACGCAATGAAGGAACAATACGAAGTGGGTTCGCAGTCATCTATTTTAAAACAGGTACTGTACCTCCTGGATTTTGGTTTGGTTTGGTTTTTGCCCACACAGAGTAGCGTTTGTATCTGTCGGAAGTATTTTCTTCTTTTCTTAGAACCTCCATACAGCATAGTAGACCTATAAGAAGCAGGTACTGTACCAACGACGCTGGATGGTAAGAATAGCACAATGCATGCAACATTGATACTGGTACTGTACGTGTATCGGAGAAACGAGTGGGTCTGCTGTGACTGGTATTGTGGACAACAGAAGCGCTAAGCGCTAACCCCGGGAGGTAGGAATCATCACTACGACTGCAGTCTAGGGTTTTATGCAAAACCGTAGAGGGTAGATAGAGTAGTGTCTGGAAGACAAGTTTGTTCGCGGACATCTACAGTATTTTGTTGCCATTTTCAATTCTTCGATGAGGAGTGTTTGTACTCCATCCTTGTTTGTGCGGTACCAGGTATTAATACCGTACGAGAGATAATTTCTTCGTGTCAACAGTACAATAATAAAAACGTTTCCTCGAACTGTTCCGGTACGGTACGCAAAAGGCGCGTGACAATAACGCAACCTTCCAGGTTGCTTGCGCCACTGTACTGCGTTGCGTTTGGCTCAGAATGACTCATTCGAGTAACAGTTCTGAAAATGCCAATCGATGGTACATTATAATTCAATACCGGTATACTCTAACGTAGACGAAAGCTCGAGAACGAATCATTGGATTCCTTTCATCATACTGATGACGGTCGAACGACCGTCTCAACATCATTGCTCCGCAACACCAAGTCCGATCAATTTATCGAACTTGTGTGCGAGTATACATCAAGAAATACATTTATTTCTTGGTCTTCTGGAACCGCACGCTTCGCGCGCAATCCAAAAGACCAGCTTCACACCACAACCCACCAGAGTCACACCAAGAAAGAATCCCTCACGGAAGAAACCAGGCGGTAGGCGCCAGTTGGCTATCTTCGATAGTGTATTGCAACACACCTTTTACCGGTATGGAAGAGCACTTTTGTCTCTTGTCGAAAGCAAGTCATATGATATGATGACAAGTCAAATCGATTCGTTCTTCTCGCCCTGGCGACTCGTGGTGACCATTTTGGAACCGTTTTGGGTTGAATCTTGACCCGAAACTCACCTCTGGATTCATGTTTCCTTGATGAAAGTGGACGATATATTATGCACACGACGGCATCGGAAGCAGCACCATTCACCAGAAAATCGCTGCGAAGGTATAAAATATCTTTTGCGTCCTAGAGGGTGGATGAAATTCGTTCGCAAAACCTCTACTTTTGGCCAATTCTTCTAGTGCATGCGTCCATTTTCTGGTTAATGATTGATCAAAATATGCCGTAGCATTCTGTTTTCGGTTAACTCCTCTCCCGACTGTTTAAAAACTGTTTTGGCCGACACTCGAGGCTTGTCAAGAATCGGCACGTACCTATAGACTCAGGACAGTTATATCCTCAAACGATCCATTTTAAAATTTCATTAGAATTTTCGATATTCTTCTTCAGCAGATATAGTAGGGAGTGTAATCGAGATCTTGTCTCATCCAGTCAATCACAAGCGACCATAATCATTGTGCTAATGAGGTAGTTTCCTACTATTCTTACAACTTCAACAGGCATGAGCTTTCAAGCAATCAATGACAGCGATGATGCCGATGACCTTGTCTTATCCTTTTGTACCTCTTGGCATGATCCAACCAAAGAAACGGACCACTAGAGACAGTAGAAGGATTTAGGCAGTTCTTTCCTTCCCAATATTCTAGTAGTCATTCATAACAACTCGTCTCTTTTATATACAATAGTAGTGGAACTCGACAACGACGGCAAAGAGAAGCAGTTACATGCAGCTAGCCATAATCGATTTCGAGCTGGAAAGGAGAGACAACCCAACATGCACTCGATCGATAGAACATGCATTAGACTGGGTATTTACCATTCGAGTTGTTACCGTTGCAGTGCGATTGGATGTGAATGTTGCTATATAGTGATTTCTCTCACTACAATAATTCCACATAATACATTTGCTCTAGTTGTTGTTGTGGCAGAACAGGAATCTTTCCAGACTGCTGCACATTCCAAAAGTCTTAGGTCCCAATCGTACAATCTAAATTCCTTCCACTTGCGTCGCACGAAAAAGGCAATTCGAAATGACATGTATTCTGCATCTTCAATATGACTTGGAACGCAAGGGGCGTCAAACGTCCGTCTCTTGACTATTGACACAGCACTGCGTGTACTGTATCAGTTAGTCCCATTTGGGAAGGTCAGCCATGGCGTGTAATAGGAAGCTCAAAAAAGGTCATATTCCAGACAGGCCACGTCCTGAACAATGAATCATTCAATCGCCATCCAAACAAGACTGCGAAGACGATTTATCAGCTTCCACAGTATCCATGCAGCTTTCCAACTTTGCCACTCTCTGAAGGCCCAGTCTCAATATTATTGTCCCAAATCTGGCAACTTCCATGCATCGGTTCCTGTATATATATATGCTGACTGATGCTTGGCAGATCTGTAAGGAGGATGCTCTTGCGAAACATGTACCATGTCTTTTGAGACAAGTGAACTCGATACTGTTGCAACAGTGCTAGCAGGCTGGTTTCTAGTGTGTAGACACAAACTTCAAAGCCATTGGACCGATTTGGATTCATTCCAGCTTATTCAGTCGGTGTTTTAAAGAAAAAGACACAAAACGGAAGGAACTCGAAAGTCATGGACCATATGTTGCGTTGTTGTGGTACCGGTACGGATCAGTGGTTGGTGACTGTGTTTTGCCAGAAAAAAGAGAACATCATTCCTGTAGTTAGCAAATACAAAGTAAAAGCAAACAATGTTCGAAACAAATAAAGTCAATCAGCATCGTACCTATTGTGTTGGAAACAATCAATAACACGTCAATCCGAGGAGTCCGTCGTTTTGTCTTGTTGCCTTGATAGTGATCCGTTTGCACTAGCTTGTATGTAACAGGATTTGGCACATGACATGCATGGAAATAGCAATCCATGCCATTTTGGGCCATTTTCTACCCTTTCAATACGCAGACTAGAAGCTTATTCAAAGACTGCCTGATGTGCCGAGAATGAATCATCAGTGAATCAATCATGCCTTACATCACGGATTTTCAAGATATTTCAATCGATCCTTGTCCACGACGTCAAGTACTATCATCTGAGCAAATTGAACAATGTCAAATGCAAAAAAGAATCAATACTTGCATGGGTTATCATTGTCAATAGAAAAGGCAGGTACCCTGGTACTGTACGAAGACGTATACTGTGATTGCAGAGTTTCAAAACTTCAAGCACTTCTTCAGTACCACTACTTTTGGAAAACCAACACAGTTCGACTGCTCCGAGCGAAACTTACCTCTCACACGCTTACTTTTTTTTCTCCTTTCTACGCATCGTCGAACGGACCCCTAGCAGACAGGAGTCCTAATCCATTGTCCTGTTTTTCATTCTTCACCATGGGTAAATACGTACAGGTATGTCTTGGAGATTGATTGTAGAGGGGTTTAGAAACAACAACAAGTGTAGTGCAGTGCAGTGCAGTGTAGTGCAGTGATCGGCAATCATCTTAGTTGGTGGCAGTGCGACACGATTGGAATTGTTACTGCATTGCATTGCATGATTCGATCGATTGATCGATGAAACGTTGGTCCTGTAGTTTGAATATACGACACATCTTTTGAATGGACTCTGATGGATTGTTTTTTCTTTTCCTTTCTTTTCAGGCTCAACGTAAGGGTAAGTCGCCCATCTTTAAGGCGCACGTCAGAACTCGCAAGGGTGCTGTCAAGCTTCGTGCCTTGGATTATGCGGAAAAGCAAGGATACATTCGCGGTGTCATCAAGGAAATCCTTCATGACCCTGGTCGAGGTGCTCCCGTCGCCAAGGTTCAATTCTTGAATGCTTACAGATACCAAAGAGACACGGAAACCTTTGTCTGTACCGAAGGTATGTACACTGGACAATTTGTGTACTGCGGAAAGAAGGCTACCTTGAATGTTGGAAATGTCCTTCCTTTGAACATGGTCCCTGAGGGAACCATTGTCTGCAATATCGAGACTGCTCGTGGAGACCGTGGTGCCTTTGCCCGATGCTCCGGAACCTTTGCCATTGTTGTCACCCACGACGAGGACAAGGGAACCACCCGTCTGCGTCTGCCTTCTGGTGGTAAGAAGACTGTTCCTTCTACCGTCCGAGCCCAAATTGGTATCGTTGCCGGAGGAGGCCGAACTGATAAGCCCTTGCTCAAGGCTGGACGTGCGTACCACAAGTACGCCGTCAAGCGCAACTGCTGGCCTAAGATTCGTGGTGTTGCTAAGAATCCAGTAGAGCATCCCTTTGGTGGAGGTAATCACCAGCACATTGGTAAGCCTTCCACCGTTGGACAAGCACGTCCCGCAGGTCGTAAGGTTGGTCTTATCGGAGCCCGCCGAACTGGTCGTCTTCGTGGTGTCAAGAAGACAGCTCAAGACAAGGACTAAACTACAAAATAGTAATTGTATTAAGAAAAAGAAAATGACTCTAGAGAGCAAGGACTCTTTGTAGTGCAAGTGACGTGGTACCGTACTGAGTTCAGTTCAGTGGCCGAGTTAATAAATGCATGTGAAAGAAAGAAAGACGCTGTATGGGTAAACGATCCATCCATTGAGTGCAGTATGGACTACAATGGAGTGTATCGGCGAGGACTCTCACGAGGATAAAAATTTCTTGTGGTTTAGGTTGGTAGCACGTATTGTAATCCTTCATCATATCACCACTTTCACTATGGTTATGACATTATGGAAATGCTGCCTTTATCATCTCCTCTACTATTGGTAGTAGTGTAGAACCACCATGACTCTTGTTTGACTTGCTACAGTGTACCTATGAATTTCAGATACCGGCACAGCAGTAGTGCTGTACCAGATAATAATAGGTATTGTTTGAAGTTCAGTGTTTTCGTACCTGGTAAATACTGGAAGATTGGAATTGGTCATGGTGCTGGTGTAGAGAGAGCAATGAATGAACGAACGAATGACTAAAGAACGGAGAACGGAGTTTTTCTATTACACTTCCGTGACAGTGCGATTCCCGTGTCCCTCCAGTGTTTCATTGGCGTTCGACTTCTTGGACCAGTCCCATATACGGAACGTGGGTCTTGGGTCATGTGCGAATTTTCTTGTAGGCTCTAAATAATCGAACTTTTTCGATATTTCCATGGGCACAGTCATGTCATATATATCAGAGTTTTCTTGGGGAGAACCAGAACCGACTTTGTGCATGCAATATATTTGATGAGGCGGAAAAATCTAACAGGTGGACCGTAACTTTTTTATATTGAAGCTGCTACTCTAGAAACGGATAAGGACGACGCAGAACAAGAACAACAACAACAACAAAAACAAGGACAACAGAGGTAGTTAGCAGCAGTACCTCATTAACAACAGCAATGTCGACGGGAGTCTTGGAGTCTCTTAGGCAGTACGATGCGGACCGTCTGAATGCTGCAGGCTCGACTGTGAATGCAACAACTTCTATCACAAGAGAGGAAGGAAACAATGTGGACATACTGAGTAGTTCCTCAACAACAACAACATCGGAAGCATCAGAAATTGCCTTGTGTCACATCAGTGGTCTCTTTCCATTTTCTGGATTCACCATTGGGGATTATACTCCTTGGAAACCTGCCTTTGAAGATACCGCGGCGGTGGCTTTGGCAGCGCACCAACTGAATGTGGGGGATGGATCCATTGTTCCAGAAATCGAGGGTCTCAACAAACGATGTCCCATTCGATTCACCTTGGAATTTACGGATACTGAGTTTCAAGCACAAAAGACTATGAATCATGTCGTAAATCAAATCGATAGAGAAGAAGGATCCGAATTGCAACGACCTTGTGCATTCCTCGGGGCTTATGGATCCGCCATATCCATTCCTGTTTCCATTGTCACTGGATTATTTGGTTATCCACAATTGTCAGGGGCATCCACCAGTACGGATCTCAATAGCCGAGGCAACCATCCCTTATTTGCTAGAACGGTACCATCTGACGCCGGGAATGCGATACCCGTCATCAAGTACTTTGAACAGAGACTCAAGATTACGCGGCTCGCCGTGATTTATCAGAATGATCCCTACGGCAATGCCTTTCTCAGAGGTTTGAATGACGCGGCTCAGAGGTATGCACCGGACATTGTCCTCACGCCTATTTTGCTCAATGACGGAGAGGGATCCATAGGACGGGCGATAGCGAGTCTGAAGGAATCCGGTGTGCACTTTGTCTTTTGTCTGGTATTCTCGGTGCACGACGACTTGATGACGGAAGCTTACAATCAGGGGGTAGCGGGGAATGGAGAGTATGGATGGTTCTTTAGTGACAGCTTTTTGGGAGCCCTCAATGGTCGATCCTTTGAAAAGGACTCGCCCCTGCAACTGGCCTATCAGGGTTCGGGATTATTGGAAGTCGCAGGTGGAGTCCAAGGATTACAACAGTACGACAAATTTACAACGCAATTGCGACGACTGAAGAACTCAGAAGATCTAGAATACATTGGTTCTCTGTTCCCAAAACATGATGCGCCCGAGTACGGCCAAACGCCCCCATTCATTGACGATGACGATTTTCTTGACTCAATATCAAGCTCCTTTGCAGCATTCATGTACGAGGCAACCATCGCGTTGGGTCTATCCGCGTGTAATGCTATATCTGGAAACTTGACACTGTCGGGAAAGGCACATTACGATGCCCTGTTTTCATCCTCCTTTACTGGTATCACTGGAGATGTTGTTTTGGAATCGAGTACCGGTACCCGAAGAGCGGACACAACGATATACAAAGTGGTCAACTATGTTGCAGAAACACAAACGGATACAGGAGCAATTGCATTCAGGACTGCCGACACAGATCTCTATCAAGGGGGTTCCTGGTTGAAGTTGAAAGATTTCATATTCAACGACGGCACCAGCGAGGTTCCCCAATATACTGAACCACCGTCTCCTGCGCCCACCCCTGCCCCGCTCGCTTCGACGGAAAATGAGCACACATCTGTCCCACTGGCAGCTGTTGTTTCAGTTTCGCTCCTGGTTCTGACTCTCATTTTTCTGTACACACTCAAAACGTTTGCCAAGCGACGAAAGAAGAAAAGGGACAGAGCGTGGCGAATTCAAAAAGATGATCTCGTGTTTGCAGATCCACCCAGAGTGTTGGGAAAGGGAGAATTCGGATATGTCTTGCAAGCAGTATACCAAGGGAAGGAAGTCGCCATTAAAAGGATCATGTCCTCTCACAAGGCGAAGGTCAGAGCCTCCAAGAAAGAGGCTGGCGACTGGCATGACTCCATGGACGGTTCCAGCAGTCTCGAAGATTCGGATCACGACTCAATTGAAGACGAGACCTACGCGACTATTGGAATGAAACCTGTGAGTGATAGTGGATTGATAGCCCGGAGAATGTCCATGACGGGTAAACGTGGGGGTGAAGACAATGCGATTACTATCAACAGCCAACAAAGAAGGAGTTTGGTCCTGAACTTGACTAAGCGAAACACAAGAATGCAGGGAGTAATGGAAGAAATGAGACATTTGTCAAAGTTGCGCCATAGATGTGTGGCATCAATCATTGGTAAGTTGTGGAGCTGTACTGGAAAGCAATTCAACAACGACAAGTCTGACACGAAGCATCCTTTTATTCTATTTCAGGTGCCATTATCGAGCCTGGAATCGAGCCAATGATCGTAATGGAATATATGGATCATGGTTCGCTTTCAGACCTGTTACACAACGAGACAATGTATATTGAACCAAGCACATTGCTGAACGTCCTTTGGGACATTGCTGAAGGAATGAAATTTCTTCATTCGGCAAAGCCGCAGGTTATTCATGGCGACCTCAAAGGTTAGTATTCTAGCGGTTGTGAGTGCATGTCGAAACCAATGCTGAACTCACATTCATATGATATGACAGCGGCAAACGTGTTGATGGACGAAGGATTTCGAGCCAAAATTGCAGATTTTGGACTCAAGGACGAGGGGTGTTCTGGTACACCCTACTGGATGGCACCCGAGTTGTTAAGGGGTGAAGCAGGGAATTCCACCGCTACGGATGTATATTCATTTGGTGTTGTATTATTCGAACTTTACTCGAGAAAGGACCCGTACGAAGGCGAGGACCCAGCGAAAGTGTTGTACCATATTGTTGACAAAAAGGTCCAGAAACGTCCACCGAAGCAAAATAATATGCCGCCACCTATACAGTCTCTAATGGCTGATTGTTTGAAGACTGCAGACGAGCACAGGCCTGAATTTGACGAGATTTTAACCAGGCTGAGACGATTAGACGTCAACACTATTCGATTGGAGGCTCAAACCACAATGCAATCCCACTTTGAGGTTGGTGGAGCAGCGCAAATTTCGTTGTCAGATATTTTTCCGATGCACATTGCGGAAGCACTCAAAGCTGGACGTCCAGTGGAACCCGAGCACCGTGATGAAGTTACAATCTTCTTTTCTGATATTGTCGGTTTCACGGACATTTCGGCAACACTCCCTGCTCGGAAAGTTGCAACACTATTGAATCGCTTGTACACAAAGTTCGATGAACTATCGCGCAAATATGATATCTTCAAAGTGGAAACGATTGGTGATGCTTACATGGCGGTGACAAATCTGGTGAAAGACCAACCGAAGGACCATGCGAAGCGCATTGCTCAGTTCGCAGTGGAAGCCATTAAATCCGCGAGCGAGACCTTGGTGGACGAAGAAGATCCAGCGAAAGGATTTGTCAATATTCGAGTTGGCTTCCATAGTGGGCCAGTTGTAGCAGATGTTGTCGGGACTCGCAACCTTCGGTACACATTGTTTGGAGACACTGTGAACACAGCTTCCAGAATGGAAAGCAATTCCAAAGTTAATCGAATTCATTGCTCAAGCGAAGCTGCTGATATCCTAGTGAAGCAATGTCCCGAAATCCCAATTCGTTCACGTGGACTGATCGCAATCAAGGGAAAGGGAGAGATGCAAACCTTTTGGGTGAATGAGCAAGGCCGAAGACATTCTAATGCGAATGAACTAAACCATGGACATTCAATCATGCGAGGGTCACTGTCGAGAGACAAGAGTATCCTGGATTGGGCTTCTCAGCATACACCAAGAGCAAGCAGTGGAACCTCCCAATCCCGTCCGTCAAGGAACAGTCAATTGTCGAGGAATAGTCAATTGTCGAGGAATAGTCAATTTTCCTTTCGTTTCAGCACCTCGTCAAATGGCTCATCGAATGGTGGCTCGAAACGAAATCTCATGCTTGGAAGACCTAGCAGCCAAAACGAAAGCGGACAATCCTTCGAGATAGGCGGGCTTGGAAAATTGGAAGAGAACGATGAAGAAAATGGACTTGCATCAAATCATGATAGCGTTGGTGACAGTGACGACGAGTTTGCAAGCGATCTGCATGCAAGCGACCTGAAATAAAATTCAACATACAACTTGATCGTCGATTTGGATGTTTATTTTGTATTAAAGCCATGAACAGTGCTAGTGAAATGTCTCTCAAGTTGATCATGTTCTGGTAGTAGTAATATTAATATTGACATTGTACCTATCGGTATTCGTAAGCTGGTTTTCGAATTATTTCTTTCGCACCAGGGTCACTCCATCCGCAAAGGGAAGCATGACATGTTCCACGCGGACATCCCCATGGACGAGTTTGTTGATCTGGCGCAAGGCCACAGTGTCATCTCCTTGTTCCTTTGGATCCACCACACGTCCAGACCACAAGACATTGTCAATGGCAATTATTCCATTTTGTCGGACCAGCCTTATAAGTCTTTCGTAATACCCTTCATAGTTGACCTTATCAGCGTCAATAAAGGCAAAATCATAAGTTGATTCTTCCCCGTCAGAAATCATTTTATCCAGACTTTCCAGTGCTGGGCCGAGCCGTAAATCAATCTTATTCTCGACACCTGCTTCAATCCAATAAGGCTTGCCAACACTTGTAAACTCTTCCGAGACATCCAATCCGACAATTGTTCCCGAATCTGGCAAGTTCAGTGCCATGGCCAACGTAGTGTATCCAGTAAAGACACCCACTTCAACTATTCGCTTCACATTCATTGCTGATATCAAAAGCTTGAACAAGGCGGCTTCTGATGGATCTCCCATCATGCGAGCACGTGGGTGGTTAGCCGTCTCCAATCGCAATCTTTCTAGGATAGGCGATTCCTTATAACCAAGTTCCTGGACATATGCATGGACTGCTGGAGCCACAAAGTCGGGATTGGCAAACTTGGCAGGACGTGGTGTGGAACTATTCATGATGAATTTGCATTATTCTTTTGTTGTGAAAGATTTTCAAAGGAAGAATCTTTGACAAGGAAGTCGTGGACAGGTTTAGTCTCAAAAGTATTTACATCATAGATCTATATTTCATCTGATGAGCGAGGCAAGAGGTCCTTTGTCCGAGTTTCATCACGTCGTTTTTATATTATACGTGTACGATAAATATATGGCGAATGAAAATCATCATCGTCATCAGTTCTCAGGTAAGAGGTCCATTATGTCCGAGTTTCATCGCGTCATTTTATGGCACAAACATGATTTTCATTTTTCATTTCTTGTTGCGAAAATTATGAATCATCATCATCCTTCAAACATGAGACTGCTCTTGAGAATACGAAAATCGACACCCCTTCTCCAGTTATTGGTTACCCTAATCATCCTACAGTTGGTGTCTGGAAGTGAGAAAGCACACACAAATGTAATCCAACACATGCCGCATCATCATCATCATCATCATCATCATCCCTACTATGACTTTGACCAAATGTCTAGTCTGATCAAGCGACTCGACGTGATTGAAAATGAGGCACCCAGTTTGCTTCAAGCCTTTTACGAGCCTCGATTGAAGAGTTTCTCTATCAAACCTGAAATCGGTAGTCGCAAGAGGGTGTGCGTCACCTCCACCTGTTACGCCCTGGTACAATTGGCCATTTCCAAAATTTATGACATTACGAGTGGATACGGCGCCGTCATTACCTACGACAATTCCATGGAGAGAGGAAAAGGTGACGAAGACAATGAAAACGTCAAGATACCAATCCCCAAGGTCGTGGATACTTTACTTAGATGCCCGTTTCGAGAAAGCGATCTATTTCAGATTCCATTATTGGCGTATTCCATTTTGCAAGTGGACGACGATCGATCCATGATTCGGTCCGCAGCCAAGTCGGACCCTCAAGTTGCGGCCAAGTTCAAAACCATGTTGTCCACAGTCTTGAAAGCAGCTCCGGATCGAAAGCTAGGGTCGAATCAAGTTCATTCCGATTATGTTCAATATCAAGTCTGCAAATTGATTGCTCTCCTGCATGACTACACCATCAAACATCAATCAGACGATAATAATGGTTCCGACGACGGATATGGAGGGCTCCCAGAAGAAGTCTTGCCAGACAATATCGCCACGGATGCCTTTTGGGTCCTCCTGAGTTGCGCCGAAGTCAGCTCCAACGAAGTTTGTCGTCAACTAGCCTATCGGGTGGCCGACGACTTGGGTTCCTTTGATGTCATGCGACTGGCGTATTCCTTGTTGACCTATGTACGTTCTACCACTAGTCTTTCTGGAATGTCTGGAAAGGAAATGGTAGAAGGAGAAGGACCGTCTCCTGAAACCAGAATACCGCAATTGAATCAAAAGCTCGTGGCAGCGGCACTGGCTGCATTTTTCAAAGAACAAAATATTGATGGGATGTGGGACAGGGGGCAGCCCATTTACAAGTCATTATCACGAGGCAAGCGACGGGATATGGGCAATGCCTTTGTATTTCCAGTCAATATCGTGGGGAGTTTGCTTCAAATGCTTCCTGCCGAAGCTTTTCGGCCACATTTGGCAGCATTGGATCGAACGCTGCAGTGGATTGAAAGTCATCAGCGATTTGAGACAGTCGTGAACTATTGTGATGAAGAGACTGGAAATGTCTATGGCAAGCCAATGAAGGGATGGAGTTCACCTCACTTGAATCCAAGCTCAGGTCCAGAAGCCTGGCCAACTGCTCAAGTATTGAAGTGTACCTTGTGGATGAGGCAAACGATCCGGGAGTTGGTTCATAATGACGTCTTGGAAGAATTCAATGGGATTGCCTTTTCGAAACAAAGCGACAAGAATGGTGACGATTGGGATACACTGTTGGATGCAGATCTAGGCGGTACTAGCCCAACCAGCGATGAAAATATGGATTCGTACGATCTAGGTGGTTCTAGTCCAACCAGCGATGGAACTAAGGATCCCAACGACAGTGACACTGACTCAGGTGGTCGGAATAGCTGCCGCACCATCAAGGACGTTCTTGAACAACGAGTCATTCAGCCATTTGCTGCATCGATCGAGAATCCGTCTTATGGTGCTGCCTACTCGGCCATTTTATTCGGACCACCAGGAGGTGCCAAGACCAGTCTCACCGAAGCATTGGCACGCAAGATGGGGTACGACTACGTTTGCATCGACACGGCTGATTTCTTGGCGGATGGTTTGACCAATGTGGCTGCCCGTATCCGTTATGTCTTCAATCGACTCATGGCCCTCCAGAAATGTGTCATTTTGTTTGACGAGATTGAAGAATTTGCCATGGATCGAAAACTTCCTAGCTTATCCATGGAATCGCGCATGTTGACGACCGCCATGTTGACAGCAATCAATGATTTGCGACGAAAGGAGCAGTCCATTTTCTTCATTGCAACCAATCGCCTGGATGCCTTTGATTCGGCCATTACAAGGCCTGGACGAATCGACATGACTCTCTTTGTCGGAACACCCAACTTGGAAAGTCGAGTGACTCAGTTTCGGCAGCAACTGGCCCGTGTCCGCCATGTGCGAAGATCAGAGACGAGTGCTGTAGACGACGCCACAGGAGACCGAGACGGAGGGGAACCTGAAGATTCACTGAAAGATGATGACGTCAAGCCGAGGAAACGGAAGAGAAGGAAGCGAAAGGAGGATGACGAAAATCAGGCCAAAGACTCCCGCGATGCTGACGATGATGATGATGCTGATGCGAGCGATGAAGAGTATCAGGATCCATTGATAGAGGAGTCGATATCCACCTTTCGTTTCTTTTTGCAATCGGTCTGGTCCGAAGATGCCATGTTTATGAATTACTTGGAAGGTGTCCAGTTTGCATCGGCCTGTGCCGACTTGGTGTCCTCTCATCAACGGCCGCCTACAGTGCGCGAAATGAAAATGATCCTGAGGCAACAAGCTGCTGTCATGACCGTACGGGGTGCTGCCAGAGAGGAATTCTTGACATCCATGGAAATGTCACGCTTCTAAAAATGCTCTGTTATATTCTATTGTACAATATATTTAAATTTTCTATCTACATTCACTATGCATTTGGTCTATTTTGGTTCTTTCTCTGCCAGAAATTGCAAGACAGGGTCATTATTCTCATCGTCCTCGTCGTTAAGCAATTGATGTACCTTCTTGGCACAAATGCGAGTGCCCAATAGTTCAAAATCAAAGACAATGCAATCATCATCCAAGTATGATACTGGGAAGACAGATACTCCGTCAACGAAAAAGAATCGTCCCAAAGCATTAATGATATCCTTGCCCAAACTGGCTGGAACCTCGTCCAAACTTGCATAGGGCGGCAATTCCAATGGATCATCATTCATCTTCTCACTGCTGGTTTGAATCCAAGCCTCATCAAAGTCAACTCGACAGATTTGATCTTCGTCTTGACTCGAGTAGGTTCCCGCCACGGAAAACCAGGTCACTGATTCTGCTGGCTTATTGTTCAAGAACTTGACGACCAGTCGGGCATGGGAAGTCATGGTGCCATCGGGCCTCATGAGATAATAGACGGGATCAAATCCAATCGAAACTCCAGGCGAGTTTTTGTTGGTAGTCCCCTTCTTATTGGTAACATCATCTGCTGCTACTGTATTGAATAATGGCGATTGGGAAAACAAGGCCGATAGGAACTGCGAAACGACCATGCCAAAAGTGGCAATGTGGGGTGCATAGACGACCCTCCAAATGCCAGGTGCCAAATGGCGAAAGGATTTGGTGGATCCTGGAGAAGCCGTCGGATTTGTGTTGGTCATTTCTGTCACCAATGCCGTTCGTTCCTTGGTGGGCGTGTGCAATCGATAATATGATGTACTAGTGGGATCTTGGAAACTGTCAAACAATGCTTGTTTGGCTGGATTGTTGGTGCTTTCTACTTTCACTGCGGTAAAATCATCTTCTTCACCTACGTTGTCTTCAACATCAGTGCCACCCATCTCAGCCTTGAGGCATATTCTGTCGTATGGGACAGATGCTGGTATTCTTCTAGTGGACGGCTGTTGTTGTTGTATTTGTTGGTGTTGTTGTAATTGAAAGGCAGCTGCAAATGATGAAAGCATAACGGTTGACATCACCACAAGAAACGCCAGCGACGGCGAACAGGAACGCTTCAAATGGACCATGGTAGAGATGAGAAAGGCCACGGTATGGTATGAGAGATAATAATGGTGATGTGATGAATAATATAAATGCGATGAGTGAGTGAGTCAGTAATTGAATACGTACAGAAGTAGACCTTCCAGCAGAAAGTCTACTACCTACTCCAGTATATATTCAATAGGTATCTCTTCTTGAATATCCAATGTATTTGTACTACCTCTGCTTATTGCATAAAAATTGTGACAATGCAGTCAATGCGATTTTTGTTGGCATTACTATCATCACTCCACCGAGAAGTTGGCACTGCCGCAGAGTCAGTCATTTGCTGGATTGATTCTTGATTGATCCCCGTACTATACTGTAGCACCTGCACAGTATAGCTCGTAATCAAAATACAAGCAGCAACCTTTTTCTCTGAAAAAGCTCATTTGTCCGTATTCTCAAAACTCATCTTCACTCATTTCAATCGACTGAAAATACTTGTGCATTGATGAGATAGGGCGAATCAAATCGAGTCATGTCCCCTGAATGGAGTCCAGGAACTGGAAGCACCCGACAACTCAATGATTTGTTCCAGCGCCCCGCAATGCCCGCTACATCCAAAATCATGGAAGCGATTGCTTTGACAGAACAATCCCCAGGTAGCGGAATGGTATCCAGACCGACCCCACACACCGTGCTGATCAACAAGAGATCCGATATTCGTAATTTGCGCTTGGCACCCCCTAGAGTCAATTCGGCAAGTCTCTGATCTTCGCAAACTGGTAGCATCACTCCACAATAACCTGTTAGCTTGATGTTTGGCAAACTTTGGAGGGCCACTGTCAGCTGAGCCGTGGCAGCCGTAGTGCCTGGTCCACCAAACACTTCCACTTCATCCAAGGCTTCCAGTGCCGCTGCAATGGACCCATTGGCCGCCAAGGATGGGTTCAAGGAGGTATCAATCCCAAGAAACTCGGCAGCAGCATTCTCGGAATTGGAAGCCACCTTGTTGCAAATGTCTTGGAGAGGCAACAACATGTCGGAATATTGCTTTGAAAAATGGTCAGCAATCCTTCCTACCGAGCCAGTGTCGGCAAGAATGGACTGAATGACGGGTCCATTCTCCAAACCAATCGCAAATTTCAATGCTTCACCGCCCTTTCCAGAAGAAGAAGAAGAAGAAACAGACTTGGCGGCTGGAAAAAAGGGAATGAACGGTTGACAATTGGATGCCGCACAAAACTGAAAGTTTCCCAATCCATCCTTGACATGTTGGGGTGCATCAACTGACAAAGAGCCCAATTTGGAAATATCAAGAATAATATTTGCAGCAGCATTGGCCGCTACAACGTCACCAGCTTTGATGTTCATGGAACAAGAGAGTCGACTGGAAAGAGCAACAATCTGACAACACCACGATGTTGCTTCCTGGATAGTCATGGCTGGACCCAAAGAACAAAATGAAATCTCATTCATGGCCAAGATTGTGTCCAGAAGCTTTAGGCGGTCTATTATTGAAGACTGGTACGGTTGGGACTTCTCATTATCACCCTTGCCGTGGTCCTCGTCGTCATTCGCCTTATTGCCGTCCAATAAGAGCCATTCCCCAAACGGATTGGTTGCCAGGCGGAGCGTTTGGACAATGTATCCTTGCTGTTCAAACTCGTGTTGTACTTTCTTCAAGAAACTTGCACAGGTTCTCACCTTTTTGGCTAAAAGTGTTGCTGATTCCTTATTTCCATCATGATCAAAGTCCGAGGAGGACAATTCCAAAAAACCAGTAATGGCACGAACCACCACTGGTTTCATGATGATGATACAATAATATACCTGGTACGAGTACCGGTATGTCGTGCGGAGATGTGACAGTGATGATCCTATCGGCATTTTTAGGGGATTGACTTCATCTAAATGTGGGATTGAAGGTTGAACTATTCATTCTGCCCCCTAAATACGCCGAATTCCAATAAAAGATATCATTCAAAAACGCGCATGCACTCGTCCGGACCATCATGCGTGACCTACAGTAGGCAATTTCAAATTGTTCCTTCGTACATGATTTTTGGGGAGGAATAATGTGCATTTATCCCCCAACGCATACAGCATGCGGTTTGAAAACTAATACAGTACTGTCATTATCGCAGATTGCCGATCGGATTCCTTGCTGATACTGTAGCTGGTTATCCATTGAATAGAATGACTTCTTGTCACTTCTTTGGTAATGAAGGAGAAGCTATTCCAGAAGACGTGGAAGAATTAGTTATTCATCCCCTGGTTCAAGCGATTCCAGATGAAGCTTGTCGCGGTAGGTTTGAACGGCTGACACGAGTCAACTTCAATCATGGAGGGTCCGCCGCTCTAAGAACAATCGGAAAATTTGCCTTTTTGAAATGTGTAAGCTTGTTGGAAATTGAAATCCCTCCGTCCGTGACGACTATTGGAGAAGGGGCCTTTATGAGTTGCCAATCATTAACAGTAGTTCGTTTTGTCAAAGATGGTTCTTCATCATCATCATCATCATCATCATCATCATCATCCTTGACCACAATTGGAGAGAAGGCCTTTGCCAATTGCAGATCTTTGACTGATGATATCAGCATTCCATCCGGCGTGGAGACCATTCGAGAGCATGCGTTTGCTTGGTGTCCATGCTTGGCGAGGGTGTTCTTCCACGAGGGACTGAAAATAATCGATAGTGGTGCTTTTAACGAGTGTGTCAAATTGGAAAAAGTGAACATTCCGAGATCTCTTGAGATGTTGGGCAGCTATGCCTTTCGTGGTTGTACATCGGTACAGGAAGTGAACATTCAGGAAGGAAACTTGAGGGAAATTAGATCACAGACCTTTGAGGAATGTGTCAAATTGGAAGCAATCACCATATCTTCCACTGTTGAACGCGTTGGATCAAACGCATTCAGGGACTGCCACTCTTTGAGGGTAGTAAAGTTTCACAACGGTCTGCGATCTGTAGAAGACGGTGCCTTTTACTTGTGCACGAATCTGCAATCAGTTGCACTACCGGGGTCGGTAGAATCAATCGGCAGGATGGCTTTCGAAGGATGTCCCAAGTTGGTGTCCATAGAATTGGGGGATGGTCCAAGAGACATGAAGATATACGGCCTTGCCTTTTCGGAATGCGTCTCCTTGGCAAATATTTGTCTTCCTTCTGCATCGACAACAACCAAAACCACTACGAACGAAAGTTCGCATAGCAACAGCTTTAGCCACTGCACGGAGCTGCAAAATCAATACGGTGACAGCATCCCGCTTGCCCTGACGCGTCGATTTGAGAACTTTCCGATACACAAGAAAGTTTACCACGCCTCTGTAACAACCCCAGTTGAGCTCTCCCGGGAGATTGAGTCATCCGTCCAATCTTCTGAAGGCAATATCCATAAGGATCGTTTGGTTGATCCTTTTGGCATGACGCCATTTCACATTCTGTTATCGGCTGCAAACTGCAGACTTGATCTTTTGCAAATCCTACTAGATTCCTATTCACCGCGCGTCCTTGGATGGAAAGACTACGTGAACGAAAAGACTGCCATTGAATACTTGATCCAACAAAGTGATCATCTAACTACTGACAACTCTCGACTCATACTGCAAGTGGCTCTTGAAGGATGGTTGATACGCTCAATAGCTAGCTGGAATGGACTGGAAGCTTGGAAAGCAGACATGTCGAATAGGGTGAATGTTATTGTTGCTGAAGACGGAGCGAATCAGAGACAATCCTTGCTTCAAGAAGCATCAATGGCTTTGTCACGGTACGAGCGGATGGAGGCTACAACTTTGCTAGAGTTGTCTTTGTGGAAAATGGAGTTGAATTCGGCGGATGCTCAAACACCAGCGGAGAATGAAGCAAGAAGAGCGACAGTCAAAAAGGAAGCATACCATATTCGAAGCGGTGCTTCTGTTGTCATTCCGAATGTGATTGCAATTCTATACTGTGATCTGCTATTATAGTCGAACGATTCTGCTTCTGATTGGTACAGAGTCATGTGTCAGAACCAAACTTACAATACAGCCTTGATGGTACAAGTACCGGTAAATCAAGATGCATGTTGATATCTGACGAATGAATCAACCATTCATATTCCAATTCTACGAGCGCTATATCCAATTCTACGAGCTGTCTTGGGTTGCCATTGCCACCAAACAGAGCACCCTTACAACAGAATGAGGCGCAACAAATGTATTTTTCAACAATCTTGGACGAAATGCAATGTGGCTCTGTTGTATGCGTCCAAGCGCTACTGTAAACTCTGCATCTTCAATCGACATTTTTTCAATAAGACTATATATGTATATATATATATATAGACAGACACACAATCATTCTCATGATGACACCTTGACTTTCAGGAAAAACAAAAAAGTAAACCAGCGAGCGAGTACTTGGTACGGTACCTGATACTGTCTGTCACAATGATGGACCAAAGACGATCCTTGCTTCAAGAAGAATCAATGGCGGCTGTTGTCACGGTAGGAGCAAATCGAAGCTAGACCACTGCTTCCGAATTGTCTTTGTGGAAGATGGAGTTGAATTCGACGAATGATCAAGCATCAGCGGTGAATGAAGCAAGGACGACGATCGATGCCAATAAGGACGGTGACAAAGAAGCATACCGTACGTATTCGAGGTGGTGCTTGGCTGCGTCATTATTCCCAATGTGAATGCATTTCTCTCATTCCCCGTCCGATATACTACCCTTGCTACCGGTAGGTCAAGGTCAATAAGGTGGGGCATTCTGGGACTGATTGATTGGCCAAGACAATGCTGTGGTTCCAATAGGAAGCAATATGGAACATACAGTATAATACGGTGATACCACCATTCGGCTTCTAATTGGCGCTAAGAAAGAACCTTACCGAAAGTCTTTTGGTATCATAAAATACTGCGTATCCATCGTCATGTTTTTCTTCTTCTTCTTCTTCATCATCTTAATCTTCTTCTGTCCTCCCAAGTCGAGGATACATTTTGTTCTCGACAAATTCGTTCATGCAGCTCCAAGACTGGTTTGGGAATAGTCGTGGGATCGAATTGCGAAAAGTGTGTATTGGTTCGATTGAACAAATCCGTTCCGTCCCTCACACAATTTTGAATGTGCTCCAAATTGATATATAGGGCTCCTATAATATGGTTGAATTCTTGATGCGATAAAAGTGCTGAAAGCTTGTGGCGTATTTGAGGGATCGACATGAAATTTGAAAATACGACCCATGCCACCCCGCATCCGGAATGGTACTGGATATCTTGGTTCGTGCCGTTTGCATTACTGTTTCATTCATTGTACAAAGCATCCTTGCCAGGTCCGACCATGGCCACCCGCCAATTCCACGCCTGGTGTTTGAAATTGAAGTAGAACATTTTCATGACCAGATTGGAACGAGTCGTGGTGACCTTGGTGTATAATGCCACCTACCACCCGGTCGAAACTCTTGAATGACTTTTGGATCGACCAACTCCTCAACGTCAGATTGAATGGCAATTACTTTGTGTACCATGTGCTCTGGAAAGTCCCTGCGAGCGTGCTTGATGAATTCATATCGTTGCAAATGTTCCCTTCTCCAGACAGGATCATTATTGTTGGAGCTTGATGCTTTGGTTTCCTCGTCGTCATCGACATATACAGCAGGTTGTAATCCATCGTATCTTGGTTTATAGGCTCCGGTGACGAACTTTTTACTCCGACTAGGTCGATCATATTTTAAAAGAAAGTTGGAGAAAGGGAGCTTTGACAACAGTCGAACAAGTCGATTACAGCGTGGTCTTTTTCACATTAAAATCCAGATGCTCAGATTGCATGCTTTTATCATTATCATTGGTTATTGTATTTTCAATTTGTTTGTTGACTACAATTCCATAATAGTGCAGCGACAATAATGCCTCCTCCACCTCCACCACCGCCTCCTCCTCCTCCACCTCCCAGAGGCAATGTGGGTCAATTTCGTCCTCCTCCTCCACCAGCACAAAGAGGCCCAACACACACAAATAACACGATGAGAAGACAAACACCATCTTCCAATAATAATAATCAACAACAGCAACAGCAACGACAGCAGCCACAGTCAGGTATTTCCATGCCTCCTCCGCCGCCACCATCTTCAGCACCCGCTGGTTTTGGACTGTCACGGTTTGCACCTCCACCGCCCGGAAGCAGAAGCCATACCAATTCTCCTTTGAATCCTCCAACTGCACCAATGGCACAGCTGGGATTTCAACAACAACAACAACCACAACCACAACAAGGAGGAGCAGGAGGATCATTAGCAACACCACCACCAAGAGGAGGCATTCCACCACCGACCATGTCGGGTAATAGGATGATGAATCGACAACCGGGGCCTCCCACGATGATGCCAACTAATACTAATAATATGAATAATAATGCCTATGGTGGACAACAACAACAACAACATGCTGCTGCTGTTGCACCAATAATGCCGCCCATGATGAATCAACAGCAACCTGGCATGCCACCACCCATGATGAATCAACATCAACCAGGAATGCCACCACCCATGATGAACCAACAGCAACCTGGCATGCCACCACCCATGATGAATCAACAGCAACCTGGCATGCCACCGCCGATGATGAATCAACAGCAACCTGGCATGCCACCACCCATGATGAATCAACAGCAACCAGGAATGCCACAAGTAGGAGGATATCCTGCAGCAGCAGGAGCACCTCAATACGGCGGCGGCGGCGGTGGCGAGCCGGCTCCCGTTGACCTTCCTGCAATTCCTACTCCGACCATGCCCCATGGAATCATTCGCGAAGCTTATTATCCAAAGGCAACCTTGTTGGCCGAAAACCCGACACCACCGCCACCACCACCCGCCAATTCTCGATTCATTGTACTCGATGATGGAAATGCCTCTCCACACTTGTTGCGAAGTACTCTATATGCCATTCCACACGAACGAAGTGTCTTGCAGAGTGTCTTGGGCAGTCAGGCGGGAAACTCCAACACCGAGTATCAAAATGACAAGTTGGATTTGTTGGCCTCGCCACTGGCAGTTCCCAGTGCCGCAACACCCACCTTTATGGCATCTGTCGGAGAAGAATTGCGATTGACTCATGTTGCTGTGGATGGTACCACGGACAAGACCAAACCACCACGATGTCATTATTGCAATGCCTATGTCAATCCCTTTTGGATTGCCTCCAAATGCAATTTTTGCAATCGGACCACCAGCGCCAATGTCCAAAATTCGTTGGCCACCATGCTGGGGACCGTGGAATATCCCGTGGAAGGGCCGTACATTACACGTTCCCAACCGGTGCAACCAGTCTTTTTGTATGCCATTGATGCGACGGCACCCTCGTGTCAAAAATATGTGGAACTCTTAAGGGATCAAGTCTTTCCCAAACTATTGGAACATGCCAATTCAGAACAACCACAACAGGTGGCAAAACTACCAACCGTTCGAGTGGGCATTGTCTTTTGTTTGGCAAGTGGCGTTTACATTCCAACTGGATTTCATACTCATGATCATTTGGAGGACAACGTCCAGAAACAAGACTTTTCAGGATTCACCGTAATGCCGGACATTCAAGAGGATCCTTACAATCCATTGCCACTCGAGGAATGGTCCTATGATATCATGAGCCAATTTGGAGCCTTGCAAGACATGTGCACTTCTCTTCTAGATACGCTGCTACCAAGGCTCATTCAAGAACGAGTCCGAATCCACAATACGATCGGCAACTCGAAGGATCAACCCATTTATCAACTTTCCTGTGGAGGTGCCGCCATGGCCTTTTTGAACGATGCCTTGAAGGAAACGGGGGGACGGGCCACTTGGATTTCGTGGAGGCGGCCCAATTGCGGGGTGGGCAAATTGATGGATCGGGAACGAGCCAAATTGGTCAAACCGGCTCACAAACCAGTGGCAGATCCATTCTACAAGAGTCTTACGGAAAAGTGTCACGAATACAAGGTGGCTATGGATATTGTTTTACATTCCAATCCGGCAGTGCCCAGGGCATTTTTGGATGTTTCCACCCTGGGTCAAGTCTGTGCGGGAAGCAATGGCAAATTGATTCGGATCACGGCTCCTTCCTGGCACGAATCCTTCGTGGCAGAATTGGTCCAGCGTGCCACAACTCCATCGGGATGGGATTGTGTCTTCAAGGTTCGATGCTCTACAGGTCTCCGAGTACACTCATTTGTCACCAATGATATGGGCAAATTCGTCAGTGCGAGTGGAATTACCGACGATTCTCCTGACTTGGAACTTCCAGTGGTGCAATCGGATACTTGCATTGGATTCAAATTGGAACATCGAGTGGGCGGCATCCCAAAGACCAAACCGTTTGTGTATATTCAGACAGCATTGTTGTACACCAATGCATGGACAGGGGAGCGAAAAGTCCGAGTATCCACCTTGGGGTTGCGGACTTGCCAGACGGCCGATGCTGCCTTTTCGTCCTTTGACTTTGGAACACTAGCAGCGTGTGAGATTCGGAGGGCTGCACAAAACTGTTTGAAGCACGAGCAAGATCTGAAATCGACTCGAAAGCTAGTGCACGGTCGAATGGTGGCAATCATGGCGGACTACCGGAAAACAGCGAGCCAGAAGCAAATGTTGAATTCCAATCAATTGGTACTGCCCGAAAAGCTGAGACTGTATCCCACCCTTGTCATGGCAATGCTCAAGTCGCCATTGTTACGAGATGGTGTTGTTCGACAAAGTCAGCTCCCCAACCCCACGGCCGACGAACGAGCCCACTTTGTCCAAGAAGCAAGGCGCGTCACACCGGCCATGGCATTTCATTTGGTACATCCATTGTTATTTCAGGTCCCTGAGGATCCAGACGCCATGGCGTGGTCTAGCTTTTCCTCGTCGGATGGAACTCTACTTTCCGAATTGCGACATTCGCCCCACGTTCCACTCGAAGCTCCTCTCAATCCCACTATATCTTGTCTGGAACCCTCTCAAATATATTTGATGGATACTGGACTTACCTTGTATGTTGTAATCGAAAGGAGCGTGTCTAGGGAACGCCTCAAAGAACTTAATGCCAAGGAGGGACCCCTGGGTCGAATGATTGAACAATTGCGGAATTATTCACAAGTTGGGACGGTAAGCACCAGAGGGACATGGCCACCGGTCATTTTCATTCATGCCGATAAGGACAAACCACTTTATCATGACATGCTGAAATGGATGGTAGAAGATGCCGCGGCTTTGGAACCAGATGCAAAGGGATTCTACAAACGTTTGCACACCAAAATCAATGAAAAACTATAAATGAAAAAAAACTCTTGACCTTTGTAGCCTTGTTGTTGTTGCCGTTGTCGTTGTCGCTGTTGTACACTC